GAGAATCTTTAGAAGTAGGTCCATATGCTCCGTTCAACAGAATAAGCTTCCTTAGAAGTTGAGAGCATTTAATGCTCGGGTTGAGTGCACAGCGATGCGAGCTGGACTGGACGGACCCTTGGCACACGGTCAAATCCATCAGCTACTTAGTTGACTTTCAGTAAGAACTGAAAGTTCCTGTACGACTCGCCATCAGACCGAGTCTCATCTTTGACTGAAAGACCGAAAGACTGGAAAAGACTGAATAGTTCCAAGAAGTGTTGACTTTTAAAGGGTGTCCACTTCCTGTCACTTGGTACTTCCTGATTGGTTGAAACAACCAGCAAGGGTGTAGGTTTAGTGATGTCAGAGGGTTATTAGAAGTCAGCAGACAGCAGAAATGTTTTAAGAACGGTTAGTACAGACAGAGAAATATTATGAAGAAGTGACAGACAGCAGGTGCCAGCTAGTTCTTATTTACTGTCTGAGTTTTAAAAACAAGGCACTTCGTTCTCATAAATTGTCTCTGACCGACATCAGGTCCACTCCTCACACAGACAGAAGAGTGAATGCACACTTACTTCGTAAATAGACATTTACTTGTATGATCCAAGTCTAATGAGGTTTAAAAATCATTAATACCGTTTCACAGTTGATTTAAATGAGTGGTTTACTTCAACATTTAGAAATGGTATGAACTAAACACACTTTTGATTATCAAGATATTGTAAAATAGTTAATGATAATATAAAAAAGAAGAGTGTTCTTTCAACTGATTAATTCAGGATACAATTAAATAGTTTCTTGATGAGATAATTTGTATTTCTGGATTCAAATCAATGAAATAACAGTTCCTGTCCCCTGAAGTTCCTCAGAGACAGATTGATGTCGGAGGTCTAGTTCACTACAAGGGGTAATGGAGAATTGAGTCCAATCATTAGTGAAATCTCAGATCCAGGAGGAATAATGCGGGTTCTATCCTGACCATGAAACACTGTATCAACTCTTTACCCTCACTAGGGTCCTTGAGGGTCATGAGAGTTTACCCATCTAGTCTACATGTCTTTTGTGGACTTGGAAAAGGCTTTTGGCCATGCTTCTTGAGGTACACTATGGGAGGTACTCCGTGAGTATGAGATTGGGGGCCCGTTGCAAGGGGCTGTTTGGTCCGTACACAAGCAGTGCAGTAGTTTGGTTTGCATTGCCAGTAGTAAATTGGACCCCTTCAGAGTGGGAGTTGGACTCCGCCAGGGCTGCCCATTGTCACTGATTCTGCTCATAGTTTTTATGGACAGAATTTCTCAGTGCAGCCAGGGGGCGGAGGGAGCCCGGTTTGGTGGCCTCAGGATTCCATCTCTGCTATTTGCAGATGATGTGGTCCTGTTGGCGTCATTGCGCCATGATATCCAGTTCTCACTAGAGTGATTCAAAGCCAAGTGTGAAGTGGCTGGGATGAGAATCAGCACCTCCAAATCTGAGGTCATGGTCCTCAGTTGGGTAAGTGTGGATTGCTCTCTTTGTGTAGAGGGTGAGGTTCCGTCTTAAGTAATAATAATAATAATAATGCATTTTATTTGTCAGCGCCTTTCAAAACACCCAAGGACACTTCACAGCATTAAAAACACAGTATTAAACAATATAAAATAACTATTAAAAACACTAAACCAAAAAGAAAATAACATTTAAAAATAACAGTTAAAGTGAAAAAGCTAGCTTGAACAGATGAGTTTTGTCATGGTTTGAGGTTAGGAGCGAACCCAGAGTGCAGAACAGGGACTCAACTCGGCAGATATACAAAAATAGGATTTTAATGGTAAATAAAAGTACAAAATAAACAAGCTGACGGGGCAGCAAAACTTACATGAACAAGGCACGGGGAACTCAGGAGACACGAGAGACACGG